CCTACTGGGAAAAATAATTTATTTATGCAATATTATAGATAAAAATAGCCTATATCAGCCACTATATATAGAACAAAAAATTTACATTGATATAGTATCAATAAATAATATATTTACAATGGTATAGTAATTCATAATGGCAATACATATGGACTTGTCACAAATCTTCATTTCGACAAACATGAATTAGTTCCTACTGAGAAAAAAAAAATATTTATGCAACATTATAGATAAAAACAAATCTGTATAAATCACACTTAGAATCAAGAAAAAAATTACAATCATATAGTCATCCATAATGCTACTACATGTATATTTGATATAGTCATTTACAATGCCACTTCACGTATAGTCATTCACAATGCCACAAATAAAATTTACAATGATATAGTGGGCACAATCCCAACTCAATTGAAATGATCACAAATAGTTGTACATCTCAATTACAAATATGCAAGATAATATAATAAAAAATGCAAGCTTCAAACATGGCTACAACTGAATCATCAAGAACATACATTTTTTGCATTAAAAATTTAATAATAAAATTAAAAAAATGCAAGATAATATAATTATCATACATACCACAATTTCTTAACGATGATATTCACTTTAATTCCTCATGATAATACAGTTTAACAACATGTATTTTTTGCATTAAAATTTTAAAAAATTAAAAATACATTTTTAATGTAAAACTGCATTAAAAATATAATACAGTTTAACAGCATGTATTTGTTAATATTTTTTTTTGCATTAACAACAAATTAAAAAATACAGTTTTGTATTAAAAATATAAGAATATGTATTTGTTTGCATAAATAATCTATCAACATGCAATTTTTTGAACTAAAAATTTAACAATAAAAATTAAAAATATTGTTTAATTCCTCATGATAATCAAAACCTGGTCACGATTTTCACATTTTTTTGAAAAATCACGATTTTTCAAAAAATTTGATCATGAATAAAAAAAAAAAAAAGGCAGTTCTTCACAGGCCCACCTAACATCAGTCATTCCAACTCAAAAATCCGCCTCAAATCGAATAAATTACATCAAATTGAATACATGTTTTGATAAAACAACACTCTAAGGAATCAAAGCCCTATAATATTAACACATTATTATTAAAAAATTAAATAAAATCTATTGAATTGAGGAAAAAAAAAAAATGTAGTTCTTCACATACATCAGTCATTCAATCTCAAAAATCAAGCTCAAATTGAATAAATTAGATCAAATTGAATACATGTGATGATAAACAAGACTATAAGGATTCAAAACCCTATAAATTTAACACATTCTTTGTAAATTATTGAGTAAAATTGATAGAATGGTGGAAAGAAAAAAAAAACAGCAGTCCATTTTGTCTCACACAGACATCAGTCTTTTTTTTTCTCAAAAATCAAGCTCGAATTGAATAAATAAAATAAAATTGAATATATGTGATGATAAACAATACGATAACGAAGCAAAACCCTATAAATTTAACACATTATTTGTAAAATATTGAGTGAATTTGATAGCATGGCAAAAAAAAAAAAAAACGCAGTTCTTACCTTTTTTTAAATGCACCCATGCCTTCAAATTCAAAATTGACATATATTCCTCCAAAAATAATCACAAATTATGAACAAAAACTTCTGAACAACGCTCTTACGATCAATCACCCTGAATTTTTACAAAAAATGATGCCCTCCTTTGGTTGAAATCAGTGAAATGGAGGAAACTAAAGCTCACTCTGCGATCCAAATTTTTTTGATCAAAATTAGTGATTTTTACTACCTTTTATTGACTGAAATGACTGAAAATTTTGAATTAAAGCCTGCAATATTCGATTATAAGGCTGAAAAAGATGAAAAATGATAAGAAAATGACAAAAAAAGATGAAATCCGTGAAGAACACTGTGCTGCCTGTGCTCTTGGGCAAGTCAATGGTGAGACTCAATGATTCACTATTGGGAGTCGCCCAGTTCTATCTAGACACGGACGATTCCCGGTATTGAAGTGGAACCGGCACGGGGTATTCCCGAGTTCGGTTCAAATCGCTGACTTTTCAAACCCTGGTATAGATAATGCATTATAAGATACACTATTTTCATGACTATAACCTTTTTTTTATGTCCATATATCTCAAGGTCAAGATGTTTGAGGATTTTTTTGGCATTGAAACTTCTTCTTCTAGTGAATATTGGAGTTGAGCTTAGTGTGATTGTTTAGGGCGTCAATCTTATATAAACTTGTTCCTTACTAGAAACTTACTTCCACTGGTATGCCTGCTTTTTCCATGTAAATACTTAAAAACAACCCAAATTTTATGTAAAAATACTTAAAAACAACCCAAATGTTATGTTTTGCCCAATGTTTTAAAACCTGACAATTTTCGTTGATCTAGATAAAAATCAATAAGGACAAAATCAATATTAGGATTGTAGGGTTTCTGTGGCTATTAAAGGCCTTCTGAGAGCATGTATTCAAATATTTGATATAGTGAAATATAAACGCAATGGGAGTATGGTCCTTTGTGGACCAAGATAGACAAATGTTATTTGCCGATACGCAGACTTGGCTTGACGTGCTAGGCTAGTCGAGTTGAAAAATCCATATTGCCTAAGCATGGAACAAAATCAATGAGGATTTGAAGGGATATCCCTTGATGAGGTCAGAGTTACCCATTAAAGTGAGCCAAAAGACTGTGACCCTTGTGTGTGATGATTGACTTTTAGATACGAAGGCCAAAACCTCATTACTGAATTGTCACATGGCATGTACATATGATAATGTTTTAGGAAAGTGAGTCACTATTGAGAGTAAATCATGTATATATGTGAAAGATTACCTCTATACATCATAGAGCTGTGGTTGTATTAGATTTGTGTGGATTGGACTTGTTTCTAGGGAAAAACTTGTAATATATAGATTGAAATTATGTCCCCTTGTATATTGGCTGACTTTGGTAGCTCAATTATAAACCCCTGCATTAGTTTGTGGGTCATAAGAACTGCTGGGTCAGTTTTAGAAAGCATGTTTGGATTATAGTCCATAGTAAAAGTTTGAGTGCCTCAGTGATATTATAATTCCTAAACTGAGTTGGATCCAGTTCTCATCAAAATTATTTGATATTAATTATTTTGATGTTAAATGATTTTTAGTTTGATTATTTAAATTTTTACTAGTCACTGGACATTTTATTTTTACAAAATTAATTTTATAAATTAATAAATATTCAATTTTTAGTAGTTAAATAAGCAAAGAGAAATAATATTTTCTTCCAACTTCTAAAATTCAATTTATAAATTTTATAGTTCACTAAAACATATGGGGGTCCATTATAAACTAGGGGCCCAACAAAATAAATCACATGGAGAAATTGGTGGGCCCACATGAGGCCATACAGGGCGGCAGGCTTTACTTAGATTTTGCTTTTTACTTGGTAAAGTTTGTTCAAGCCACTGAGGCTTGCAAACCAAGATAAAATAATATAGAAGGTTTTTAAATTAAGGAGGTTTGATTTTAATTAATACATTATGAGTGAGAAGATTATAGAAATTAAAGTATGAATGACAATATTTTTCATATTTCATTATTTGATGGGACTAAGTATAGGAAGCTGAATGATAAGGTTCTAACATCTTCATTTGAATCATAATGGCTTATCTAAGGATTAGATGATTAAGATATTCCACGTCACAGGTCTCCTGTGACCAATGATATGGATTTAATCTAATTAAAGATGACTAACCCCAATGAAACTCTAATCCTATGAAAACTCTATAAATATAGGCCTTTCTCCCATATATTTTTACGTTTCATATTTTCTCTATCCTCTCTCTCCTAGGGTGGCATGCTACCCCTAGGGTTTCTTTCTCTCTCATCTCTCTAAGCTAGTTCTCTCATCTCTCTCCATTAGCATAGCAAAGTAGGGGGCACGCCCCAAGGTGCAAGAGGGGGGCACGCCCTACTTCTATTAGACGTTGGTGTCTAGGCTATGCTATGAGATATGCATTTGATCCCATATGCCGTTGGAGCATGAGACCCGATGTGAGATATATTAAGTTTAGTTGAGGTAATCTTTCAGCATGTGTTGGTTTTGTTAATTGAATAAAAAGAAGTTATTATTAATGGCTGTAAGTGAGAACCACTTTTGATTATTTATTTGTTTATTTTAATTGAATTTTACTGTAATTGGACCTTCATAAGTGTTCTTCAAAAAAAAAAAAAAAATTATATAGACTATATACATATATTTTAACTTTATCTAATATTTTTATCAAATCCCCCACCTTATAATTTTTTATTTTATTTAATTTACTGTTTTTATATTTTTCAGATCATTTCGGACCGCTCGATACAGGACGGATCCAATGATCTCAAATAGATCCGTGGCCGAAAATTACGTTTTAGAAGACTAGTTTTGCCCGTTCAATTGGAATCGACAATTGCTTCCCGCGCGACCACCTACAAACATTCAAAGGAAAAACCGCAGCTGGGCTTTGGCCTCCAGTGCTTTGTAAGAAATGACGACATGATGACCATATTTACCCTCTCCTGTGGAACTAAAATGGACCACGCCAAACATGCAGATCAATCTTTCTCCTCTCTCTTTCTTCTCCCCATGAAGAGAGAGAAGGAAGATGAAGCAGCTTTCTCTCTCTTGATCCCCAACTCCATCTCGTGCTCGTTTCGTCTCTCATGAACCCAATTGTTCATGCTTCCACAACCATGGAGGGAGAGGAACCTGAAATCGACCGCCTTCCTGTTGACCTCCTCGCCCACTGCTTCTTCCTCATCTCTTCGTTCAAGGACTTGGCCCAGTAAACCCTCTCTCTCTCGCTATCTCTCTAGGGGTCTCTTTTTTTGGGTGGAAGTTCCTGTGTTGTTTTGTTTTTGTGGAATTTTGATTTTGAGGAAGTGGGGTGCATGATTGCAGGGCAAGCCTTGTGTGCAGGAAATGGAGAGAAGGCGTGAAGAGATCGACTGCGAGGAGAGAGAAACTGAGTTTTTCTGGTTGGAAGATGGATGATGACTCCACTGCGAGGCTTGTTCATGATGCCTACGGTCTCAAGGAGCTTGACATGTATATATATGCTTCACCTTTTCATGATTCGGCACTTCCTTGCTTTCTTTTACTCTTTCTTCGATTTCGGGAATTGCAGGCATTGTTGTTTATTTCGAATGAATAAAGAAATCCTATTCCATTTTTGCAGTATTTGCATGTTATTAGGCTTTTCTTTTTGGTCTATTTGCAATTAGTGAATCACTTGTGTTTGTTATTGTTCCGATGAATCATTAATTCTATTCACTCCTTACAGTTTCTAGGCATCCATTCTCATGTATTTATACCAATTCAAAGGTTCTCGCTGGGTCTCGTGCACGATTAAACCATGTGATGGTTGTCTGAACGACTCTGCCTTCAATGTGTTCACTTCAAGTACTCAAAATTGTGCCTGTCCTACAATTGGTAAACCTATGATCAATTTTAGCTTTGTGAATATTTCGAATGGCTCTTTGATCAGCTTTTAATGAGTTTCAAGTAATTCTTTTCTCTTTACTACCCCAAGGGAATGATACATTATCAAGGAAGTTAATGAAACCAGTTCAACAACTTCTTTTGTTCGTTTCTGATTTGGCAACACACTGAAATGATCATCCAGTTATGAACATGTTTGCATCAATTACTTAATCCTTTCCATTCTCCTACTAGTGCCTCTCCAATTACCGCCCCTGCCCCATGAAAAGTGAATTGAATTTGTGATATACAAATGATTATGCTTCTAACATAACTTGCCATGGTGTTTTTCATTATGTGATCTATGAAGGCTATAAGTGTTGAAGGTAATGTGATAGTCAAATACTAATTACCACACGAGTGATGGAACTTGCCTATTCACTGTGCAAATATACATACTCTTTAGTGGTTAACCATGTAGCAGTGCATGGATATGGATCATGTGCCGTTTCATTGAACTACATAGACTCATAGTTTGCAGTTGCATCCTTGAAACAACATAAGTTGATGAAATTGGACATCTAAGTGTATGAACCTCAACATGGGAATTTCAAGACATTAGCTTTGAAATTTTCTGGCTCATTGTGATTAAAAGGTGGCGACCCCCAGTGCCTAGGTGGCGCCTCTTAGCACCTTGCCTAGGCCTAGGTGGCCAGGCCCTAGGCAGATATTATGATGGAGTTCATTGAGTATTTAGATGCCGAGAAAAAGGAAGAAGGTGGCAAATGAGGCAGGCATGGCAGAGTTTAAGGATGGGATTAATATATCTGGTGTAATAACGATGATGATGAAGAGAAATGGGCTGCTCTCAAAGTACTAAGAGATGAATAGGGTCTAAGAAGCCAAATATGAAGGGGTCCTATGAATGTCTTTTCCCCCCGGAACACGAGGGCATGCAGTACATGATAGAGAGAGAGGGAAAAGCAAGGCAAAATTTCATTGAGAAGAAAGATAAAGTGAGGCCGGGGGTCATGAGATCTGTCACCTCTTTCCCAGCTCTATAGAGCATAATGCATAAGAGAAACCAATTCTGATCTATGTTCACTTTAGTGTATGTGGGATTCTTTTGTCTGAGTCTTTCTAGAGTGGGTAGTATACTCACTTGACGTATCCCTACAATTGTTCAAAGTTTTGCGCTTAGTTGATAACTATGGGCTATAGAGAGAGCCAATAGAGAGAGAGAGACAGTCGGGGCATTGGGCAATGATCATCATGAGAGCATGTATGGTCTAATATGGGAGATTATACAGAAAGTGGGTTAAACCCCTTCATCAGCATTTACATGCAGTTGGTTGCTATTTGATCCGAAAGTTCTTTAATGCCGACATGGATATTGAGAGGAAGGATGCAACTATGTATGACTTTAACAAATGTCTTGAGGGGCCCATTCCCAATAAGGATATCTACATTCTAGATATCTTTTGAAGATTTGATCCTATATATTTGCATTAAGATCATTTGAGAAGGAAATGATTGTGTATCAAAGGACTACATCCCAAATAATTTTTCTTTCAACTTGCATAGTTTCTTATATAATTTCTACCTATTTTTATTAGTTACTGTTACAGACTTGTCAGTTATAATTTTAAAATTTAAATGATGCTAATGCAGGCCAATGGTGGAGCCAAAATGGGAGTTGTGTCCCCAACTTACAAAAGATGGCCATCTACATAATGATCTTGGCATGTAGCTGATTTGGTTGTGGGCATTTAGGTTTTTTCGAGTTCAAGTTCATGCATTTTCCACAAGTGATAACATGCAAAAGAATAGGCTTGAGAAAAAGGAACTTAATGATTTAGACTCCATTCGATGTAATTAGAGGCAAAAAAAGCATTTTAATGATCATAACTAAGAAGCTTAAGATGGAAAGGAATTAATCATTTTGAATATGAGCTAGATAAATTTGCTTTGGTGATAATGAAGGAAGATATTTGCTTCCTGATAAATCCATTGAAAAATAATTTCTTGATCAAGAAACCAAAGGATCATCAATATGGAAAGGAGGTCCATTTCCTTTGATTAAATAGTTGAATGTGGTCTATGATCTAAACGAAAATGACAAATATTAGAAGTTGGTTCTTATAGAAGAATTGTAGCAGTTTAAATGGTACATTCCAGTTCTTAGGCCAATCTACCTAGTTCCTTTTGAGATCCGTAAAGATGAAAATGGAAAAATAGGAAATATCTTAAGATGCCAGCTCTAGTAACAGAAAAGTCCTCAAATGAATTTTCGTCTGACTTGGATGATATTGATGAGGAAATAGACTGGTGCCAAACTCCTAGGTTTGATGGATATGATGGAGAAGACGAAAATAAGCAAGAAGAGCCAATCTCTCAAGAAGAGTCAATTTCTCCAATGAAAATGATGAGACCTAGGCATTCTTCTGCTTCATCTTTAGATATCTCAAAATCTCTCCCAAATAATCCAAATTCTTTAAATAGGTTAGAGCAGGAAGGAGACTGAGATCACTTGGGTAATATTAAAAGTCCCAAAAGTTAAAAAAGCAAGATCAGTATGACCTCTCTCTTTTTGAGTCTAGATTTTTAAATAAGTCAGACGGATTGAAGTCAATTTACATGTAAAAAAAAGGTATTTGTCCTTTCTTTGTTGGGTTTTGTTGCCTTTAAAGGTCAAGAGAGCTTATAAAGATGATATTTATAGTGAAATATGCACTCTAGTGGGAGTGTGTGTGTAGACTGGCCAATAACTGGACGGTTTATAGCCCTGGCCATGTCCAAAATCTTTACCCTTGGGCATGTGGCACTACCGAGAAGGGTTTGCAATAGGTTATCCCTTGTTGAGGCCAGAGATATGCCTAGGGATGATGTTTGTAGGCTAGGAGAACTGTGTGGTCTCCTATGTTCGGTTGTGGGCCTGTGAGAGAAAGAGCCAAACCCTCAACAAACTTCCGCACGACATGTACACACGACAACCGCATTACTGGGAAGCAGTTCTATAGAGGGACATATGTACATGTGCATTGAGAGAGTCCATTTGTACTGTTGTGACAAGTGCTAGACTTGCTCTTAAAGGGGAGAATTGAAATCCACATTCTAGGATCATGATCCTACTATTCATTATCCAACTTTGACAAGCCAATCATGAGCCTCTGAAATGAGATTGTGGGTCATGAGTTTTTTTGGGAAGGATAAGAAAATAGTAGTGGATTATGTTTTATGGGGTGAGTGTAGTATCCTTATTGTCGCTATTTTTGATCCATTAATACCAGTCCACTCTTAGAATCTTTTATTTTGGTATTAGAATTTTTTTATGATTTTAAATAGTTTTCAGAGTTTTAAAATATTATTTCTGCTATAATTTTTATCAAAAGAGTATTTTTGAAATTTTCAGAACTTGATAAGGGACATGTGGGGACCAAGGATCCAGCCCCCACATATGTGTGCCACCCATGTGGGCCACACATGACATCCACTTTTCATGCAAAAGGGGGCACACCACTTTTATCCTAAACGGGGCACGTCACGTTTTTAGGAAAAAGGGGGCACATCCCCACTTTGTGTTTCAAATTTTATTTTAAATAGAAAATCTTTTGATTTAAATTAGATTTGGTTTCTTATCCTGTGAGAGTTTTAAAATATATATTATCTTAGATTATGGGAGATCTAGATAATGATAAAATTGATTATATTTTAAATTTAAATAGAAGTTGGATATGGGTCAAAATCTAAAGGGATAAGGTTCCTATTTTTTTACCCAAAATGATGATGGCTGATTTGTGGGATGGATGATTCTGATTAAATCTCTCTGACCCTACAAATTTTTTAATTATCCTAAAGATCTAGCTGGAAATTGGATAAGGCATACTTAGATTGGAATCGGATTCAAAATAGGAAATAGATCTTGTTTCTATTTAAAGAAGTTTTGAACCCCCTCTCTCTACACAACAAGATTCTCTCTCTCTCATGCCACCCTCTCTGTTTCACGGCACGCTCTCTTATTTTCCATTTCACTCTCTCTCCTTTTAGAGAGAAACATGCTACTCTCTCCTTATTTGAGTAGCTTCTATTAAAAGAAACACAATGTTTCAAAAAGCACTAGGTGGCGCCTAGGCGGCCGGGGGATCCAGGCCGCCCAGTGCCTAGGCGCCCAGAACCTGGGTGGCCTCATAGAAAAAAAAAGTCTCTATAGTCTAACAATATAAGTATAACTGTATAACACATAAGAATTAGTGTTTAAGGCACATCAAATGTATAGTACATAAGTCCACATAGCACACACTCATCGATGCTCCATAACCATCAATCCTTCGATCCTATGGAATCACCAAAAACTAGTTTTTTGGGGTTTTTCACTCTCTAAGATAGGCTCTATTGGGTTTTAGGTTTCAAAAGAACCTAGAACCCACAAATTTTCCCCTTTAGTATTAAAAAATAACAAAAAAATGTTCTCAACGAGGGCCATTTCTGCATTTGGGCAGGGCACAGGCCCCTTAGGCTAGCTCCCGCTTAGGTGGGTTCCCGGGAGCCTAGGTGGGCACCTAGGGATATCCCACCTACTTTGGTCGCCTAGGCTTAGGCGATGCGCCCAGGCTTTCTAGACCGCTTAA